TCCCTCAAAAAGTATTGGTAGAGTCGTTCAGGGTGCTACAAAGGTGATGCTATGCAAATTTCTGGTGGGAAATACAGCTGTCTCAAAACATTGATAGCCTGTGGTTTCATTTATGTGGTGGATGTTAATAAGTCTAATGGTTCTAAAGAGAGCTGTCTGAAAAAAATGAATTTGGAGCTGTTTGGTTTCATGAGTAGTTCTGAAAAGTCAGGAAGGAGTGAATTAGTTCAGAATGCAACTAAGACTATTTATTTAAATTATAGCAAATGTGAAAGGTGAGGAGAAAATGCTGCACTTTGATTTGGAGCAATTTACAAGTAAAATGGAGGGGAATTTCAACATGAAATAAACATTGCAAATGCACTTTCTTGGAATTTTTTTCTCAGGACAAACAATTTAGAAAAGCCAGCACTAATGCTCAAAACTATTTGTCACCATATTTGCATTTTTCACACAGGGGAAGTTTCAGGAGAAAGAATTTCACCCATCCCCAGCTCTGAGCCTGGGAATCGAGGGTATCTGCAAGCCACTGTGTGAATTAACTCAACTGGACGTATGCATGCAACATCTCGCTGCTGAGGATACATCCCAGACCAGGTTTTGCATATGGCATTTGGGCAGCTCTGTCCTTTTTAACATTTGGCAAGATGTCCCTGTGATGTGGTCTCACACAGAGAGTGATCGCAGAGTGACCCACATGAACTCCTAGCTGAGTTTATGTGGGCCACTGTCCTCCCGACAATGTCAGAGGAAATCAGGCAAATGTCCAGTCTGAAGGCAAAGGAACCCAACTTAAGTTGTGGTACCACACTGAAACAGCCTGTCTCAGCCAGGTCACAAATCCAGAGACAAACTGTCACTCCCAAGAACCCAGCATGAGGTCTCCGTCTTGACTGTACAGCTGCAAAAAAAAACAACAAACCACCCCACCTTTCTGGGCTTTGCTGCCTGGTAAAATTCATCTCCTGATGAGGGACATGGCAACCACTTCCCTGCCTCAGCACCCAGGGCTGACCCTCCCAGGACGCAAGGGCAGTCAGTCACACAGCCCAGCCTGGGAGGACCTCAGCCAGCCCTGTCTTTCTGAGGTCCCAGTGAGAATGACAGTGGTTAATACAATTAGCCAGCCAAGGTTAGGAGCAACATTTTTCTCAGAGGTAAGTTAAGTGAGAGGAAGTGTTTTTTCATCCAAAATGACCTCAAAGTCTGTTTTACAGACATGTCTATTAACTCTTTAGTGGCAGCAAGGTTTGGAGAAACCCCTAACAGCTTTCATGAATCTTTCAGAACATGTTGAAACAGAGTGGCTTCAGAAATGGTTCCTATTTTCTGTTCCCAAAGGAACACCATTAGGGTAGCCTGAATTTCCCATGCTCCGGAAGCAAGGCGAAGAAACTTTTATAAAACCAGACATTTTTAAATCCAACACCCATTTTTTTTTTCCATCACTTTAATCATTCCCTCTGACCTGCAACCCAAATAATGAAGCAATGTGCTGGAAGCTGAGAACCATTCATTAATGTTTACAAGACACAAGATAATAGGGGAAGAGTGCCATAGAAATAGCATGTATAAATAAATGACAGAAACAATATGTTCAGTCTTTGTGATTACTCATGCTCTCAGAGCCGAGCAGGTGCACAAGTTTTTATGGGTTTGGGCCTTGGTTTGATCCAAAGGTACCTTCAGATCAGGCTGTTTACTCCATGAGCAGAGCACTCCCTAGATTCACTCGGCTGTGGGTAGGAAGGTGGAAGCTGTCAGATACCAGGAATTTGGCACTATCACTGTGTCACTTCAGTTGTGTTAGTGATCCAGAGGAAGGTCACTCACCAAAACACTGTGTTGATAAGAAGTGTGGAGCTGGGTAGGCCCAGAAGGACAAACACTGTTTAGGTTTTACAGTGCAAATTACACTAGGAATGGAAAAATGTCTTTCCATTTTCCTGATACCAGACATTCCTGGGAGCATAGGCCGTGGCTGCTTTATTTTTAAAATCAACAAGTTCTACTGAAGAAAAAGCATTTCTTGATCTCGTGACTGCCACAGCAGAAAGATCTGTCCCCTTGCAGTCAGGCAATGTGCTTCCTGCCAGCTGGACTCGCTTGCTGCCTGAACAGTCCCATCGATGCACACACTGTCTCTTATCTGGCAGGTTGAGCTGGAGCAATGGGATTGAGACATTTCAAGATATCATCTGGGAGAGCGAGATAAATCAAGGTGAGTCGATTTGTCAGACTCTGCCGTATGCTGTAAAGCACACAGCCAGTGTGTTGCTCCTGGAGCTCCAACTGCACTGTGTGCTAACAGCACTTTTGCAGCACATTGAGCATCCCACCACATGTCTGGCATGTACAGCCAGACTCAGGCATGCCACATTGTGGGAACGAGGGTTGCTCTGCAAGGTCAGGGGGGTGCTACAGCCTCATCTAGCTCTCATCATACACACATGCCATTATGCCTGGGAAAGGCCAAGGCCATTCTTCCTTACTGCTTTGCCGTAACATGCCTTAAGTGAACCCGAGCATCTTGTCCTATTTGGAGTAGTCATATTAAAGCTGGATTGTGGAAGAAAAGCAACTTCTCTCCCCTCACCATGAAGTTGGATATTGTGCAATGGAAACACCTGTACAGTATGTTTTATGTAGAAAAGTGTTTTGCTCCAGAAAATGCAGAACTGATCCTGCTTCCATTTTCTGGCTGCGTGTTTGTAGTCCCTTATCTCTGCACGGTATCACAGCACGCTGCACCTGAAGCCTCCTGCCTCATCACCAGGCTGCACCACCTCACAGATGCAACCTTTTATTTAGTCCACTGTTGTACTAGCTACTTTGTACCAATTGAAACATCTTATCTCCTTGGCTGGATCAAGGTCTTCCCTCTCTGTGTTGCAGTTTAGCAGCCTGGCAAGTTTCGGCTGTTGCCAGCTGTCCTGAGTCTCTGCAAAAGGCACCACATTTCCCTCTGACATGATTGCTTTGCAGACTGGCTTAAACCTCACCTACCTGCAATGGGGCATAAGCCCTTGCTTTCAGCTAAGGATGCGTTCAAGGTCCCTGGTGGATAAGGATGGAGTTAAGTCTGTGTGTCCCTGAAAAAGCGCCCATGTGGAGATATTCAGCTTGACACATGGGGCTGGCAGAAGTGGTGCTCAGAAAGCCTAAGAAGGCAGGAATAGCCGGAAGTTCCATGCTACCTGCAGGGTGGGGGTGATTTCCACTTACTGGGGCAGAAATCTCTCCACTTCAGAGCCGGAAGCGCACAGTGGCAAGGTTGCATCCCTGTCCTGAACGACACAGTGGCATCTGAGAGGCAAAGGCAGACCAGGATGGACAGCAAGCCCTGGCACTGTGCTCTGGGTGATCAGGATGTGCTGTAATCAACAGCAAACCAAAAATTAGGTCTCTCCGAGTGAGCCTGGCAAAACACAGCTATGCCTGGGTGCAGCTCCCAGGAAAGCTGACTTGGGTAGGTGGGATTGAAAGGATCTTCTGCTTTGCTGCTGCATGGTACAGTGCAGGCACTGATCCTGCAGCAACATCTCTAATAGAGTAATGACACTGTGTAAGGATAGTAAAGCAACATTCATTATAATAGCAGCACCATGCACATCTGGAGGGTTCTGTGACATTAGTTAACTTTTCTGTCCTTCCTACGTCACAAAAAAACACATATCCACCTTCTGCTATAGGGTCTGCAAAGAGAAGAGGTGGAGACCCATATTTCCCAAAGCCTGCCCTGATTTTCTGTCCTTTGTTTTAACCCTGGCCATACAGGAGCAGCATGGGCACAGCCCGGCCCCAAGCCAGGGCACAGCCAGTGCTCTGACCTGCTCAGCACCAGTCCATCAGGCCCAGGGAACCCCAAATGGGGGTTGTGTTTCAACAGCAAGTTCTCTGATGTAGCCATCTGGGTCACCCATAAAAGTACTTGTAAGGCATAGCCAGCCTTCCATGAGATGCTCCTTCATAGTGAGATGAAGGGCCTCTGCGGGGCATCTGGTTTTCTGTGCCCATTACAAAAGCAGCACAGATAGCCAGCCCTAGTGCAGATGCTCATGGTGGGGTACCTGCCTAGGTACATGCTGCAGCCCAGCAGCAGGTCCAGAGGAGAAGCACACCATACCATCTGCCTCTTTCCCTCTTCACAGCCACTCAACTGCTCACCAGCTCTCTGCAGAAGTTGTTCAAATCTCCAGACCAAAACTGTCAGTATTTTTATTACTGTCACAGCATCTCCTTCTATGATGAGACTACAGAACTGATGGACAGGGGTAGAGCAGTTGATGTCATCTACCTGGATTTGTGCAAAGCGTTCGACACTGTCCCACACGACATCCTTGTCTCTAAATTGGAGAGACATCAATTTGATGGATGGACCACTCGGTGGATAAAGAACTGGCTGGATGGCCGCACGCAAAGAGTTGTGGTCAATGGCTCAATGTCCAGATGGAGACCAGTAACGAGTGGTGTCCCTCAGGGATCGGTGTTGGGACCGGTCTTGTTCAACATCTTTGTCGCTGACATGGACAGTGGGATTGAGTGCGCCCTCAGCAAGTTTGCCGATGACACCAAGCTGTGTGGTTCGGTTGATACGCTGGAGGGAAGGAATGCCATCCAGAGGGACCTTGACACGCTTGTGAGGTGGGCTGATGCCAACCTTATGAAGTTTAACCATGACAAGTGCAAGGTCCTACACCTGGGTTGGAGCAATCCCAGGCACAGCTACAGGTTGGGCAGAGAAGAGATTCAGAGCAGCACTGCAGAGAAGGACTTGGGGGTGCTGGTCGATGAGAAAATGAACATGAGCTGGCTTCAGTGTGCGCTCGCAGCCCAGAAAGCCAACCGTATCCTGGGCTGCATCAAAAAGAGAGTGACCAGCAGGTCGAAGGAGGTGAACCTCCCCCTCTGCTCTCATGAGACCTCACCTGGAGTATTGTGTGCTGTTCTGGTGTCCTCAACATAAAAAGGACATGGAACTGTTGGAACAAGCCACAAGGATGATCAGGGGCCTGGAGCACCTCCCATATGAAGAGAGGCTGAGAAAGTTGGGGCTGTTCAGCCTGGAGAAGAGAAGGCTGCGTGGAGACCTCATAGCAGCCTTCCAGTACCTGAAGGGGGGCTATAAGGATGCTGGGGAGGGACTCTTCATTAGGGACTGTAGTGACAGGACAAGGGGTAATGGGTTATAACTTAAACAGGGGAAGTTTAGATTGGATATAAGGAAAAAGTTCTTTACTGTGAGGGTGCTGAGGCACTGGGATGGGTTGCCCAAAGAAGTTGTGAATGCTCCATCCCTGGCGGTGTTCAAGGCCAGGTTGGACAGAGCCTTGGGTGACATGGTTTAGTGTGAGGTGTCCCTGCCCATGGCAGGGGGGTTGGAACTAGATGATCTTAAGGTCCTTTCCAACCCTAACTATTCTATGATTCTACGATCTAGAGGAACTCAACCAAGACCAAAGGACTTGTTTTGCTGGATTATACACATCCCATGCTTGGAGGGAGTTTCTCTGCCTACGAATATATTCCCTAGGTTCCTGGTCTTGCAACGTCTTACAGGCATTATAATAAAACCTCAGAGAAATTACATGGAAAGGAAGATGACCAGGTCCTACGGAAACCATCTGTTCTTGTCTCTGAGTTTAATTAATCTGTGCACAGGTTTAAGATGTTCTGAAGCACCTTGCGGAAGACAAAGGCAAGGTAGGGAAAGCTCCTGAGAAGTTAATGACGCACGGAAAGCACTGCTGAGCTGGTGCAGGGGCTCTGCTTATCATGGCCCTTTTGGGTCCATGTTGCTCTGGGGGGGGCTGCCCTCATGTGTGGCTGGTGTCTCCTGTGTATTTGACTTCAGTCAGTGAATGTGTTTGAATGTCTCTGCTGAGAGACTTCCCCATCAAAGCTGGGGTTTCCTTGTTTCGCATTTCTGCTCATTGCATAAACACATTTGCTACTCCTGAGAGCCATCTTCCATAGATCCCCATGCTTGCATGCAACAGCTACAGTGCTGACCCTTCCAAAGATGAATCCGCAGAGTCACAGAGGGACTTGAAAGTTTTTGCATTGCCTCCCTCATACGCAGAGCGTAGTGACCCACTGTGAGCCACCACATTGGTGGTGTCTGGCCAGCACCTACGTACTAGGAGCTTTCTCTATCCAGTTCTCTCAATGACACAGCTATACCTGATCTGTATAAAAGACCTGCTCCCTCCTGAGGAAAAGCTCTGTTTTTCCCAGACAGACTGATTAACCCTTGAGATACTGGGAACGCCAGCTACTAGCAAAGTTGGCTAATGCCTGGGATGTCTGGGGGCTGCAGGCATCTTAGCTGAGCTCTTCCTGCTCAAGAGAAGGCTAATTAATCAGCTCTGTTATTCTGGCATCACCCAAAAGTGAAAATACTTTCTGGCAGGGCAGCAGGCACAAAATTAGCTGCTGCATTAAACTGCCAAATCTCCTTTACTCCTTTATTAGCTGCATTTGGTGATGATGAGGAGTGAGGCATTAACCAGTCCCTGATGGATAAAGAAACTATTACTCTGCTTTCTCTTTGCAGCAGAGAGGAGGAAATAGGTTTTATTACTGAGATTTCCTTGAAGACATTCACTTGACTTTGTGGCATAAGAGATGGAAGAGAAATGAAGAACACAGAAATCTTGGCACAGCAGGTGAGACTGTGCACAGATAATAAAAAAGAGAAGTACCAGGTCAATTGGGATCTAAAGTATACTTAAGTGATTGAATCCTTGTGTCGGGTTGAAGCCCTGACAATCTGCTGAGCTCAACTAATTTCAGTATAACAGCCAGGATCTCTGTGCTGGCACTTAGGGCCCAAACCAGGAAACTTGCTGGGAACACACGTTCATGGTGCATCAGAATGGAACAGAAAGGAACAGAATAGAACAGAATGGGACAGAATGGAATAGACAGGACAGAACAGAGCCGAACAGAATGGAACAGAACGGAACAGAATGGAACTGAAAGGAATGGAACAGAACAGACAGAACAGAACAGAGTGTAATAGGATAGAGTAGAGTAGAGCAAAGTAGAGTAGAGTAGAATAGACTATTTCAAGTCATTGCATTTTTCTGTTTCTGTTACTTTTCCCCTCAAAATTAGACCTAGCGCTTACCCATTTTAGTTTTAGGCCTAGATCCTGGCTAACATGGCATGGCCCTACTAAAGGAAGGTGCAGACCAGAAGAACCCATACGAATCACCTTATCCATGTGCTGAAATCTCCTGAGATATGTGTCCTCCACATCCATGAGTGGAATGGCAACCTTTTCAGCCACCACAGCTGTGTCCAACAAGGGTCATGAACCAAAGACCCATGAAATAACTGCAGAAGAAGCTGTTGATAAGACCACGGGGCAGACTGCCAGGTTGGTGTCCAGGAAACATGGCGCATTCTGCTACCTCTGCTCCAGGGTCAAAAAGAAGGAAAGGGATCAGTCAGTCAGAAATGGGCAGACATCTACTAAATTATTCTGGAATAAGATTTCAAATTACCTAGGACATAATCCCAAATTTTTGAGCTTTCTACCCATTTTGAAACAAAACAAACACAGCCTGGGCACAGATGTCCAAGGGACCTAGAGCGTACAGAGTTGACATAAGCATGGTGGAGGGGGCAACAGTCTATGAACAAACATAGGGTAGAAATTGGAAGAAGCACGCTGACCATGTGGGGAAAGAGATCCTGCAACAGGCAGACAGAGTCAAAAAGACAACCTGGTGAGTTTGTAGTTGCCAAAGAAGATATGAGAGCCCAGAGCTGTGGGGACCAGGCTCCAAAGGCTACCAGGTCCCTCCTCTTCTTGGTCACTGAGGAACCATTTCCATTTGGTGGGTTTCTTGTTTGTGGAGTCCAGGCACAAGGAGGGCTGCGAAGGAGAACAGCATGAAACCATCTGACCAAGGGATATCCTCCTGCCCAAGGTGTGTTTCAACCTCCCAGGAAGGAAAGTTGAGGCTCGTGGCTCAGGAGCTGGCTTGAGCATCAGCACAGCATGGCAAAATGAGCTTGCCTTACAGGACAGGTCCACCAAGAGCCTGACGGTGGCTGGAGCTTTGCTTCAGGCAGGCATTGCTGGCTGCTGCTCAGGGCACTGCTCCCTGGCTTTGCTTCACCTCCAATCCTCTCACCTCCTTCTGTCTTACTTTCCACATCTACAAAGTGGAACTAAAGCTAATTACAGCCCCTAGAGCAGAGTTGCCTGGCTTGGCTTTACCTGCATTTTGAAAATGCTCTGAGATGAAAGATGCTTGAGAGAGCAGTGTATTGTTATTACTAATAATTAAAAAAACTAACCAAATATTTGTCTAGCAGCATCCATCCCTGCTGCTGTTTCTTAACGTAAAATGCACACATGCTCTGACTGCCAGACCAAAGCTCCAGAATCACTACATCAGCCCTACGGTATCGAGAAGGGGGGCAAAAACTGCCTTGGGTATAAAAAAGGTTGTCTGTTCCAGCAATTAATTTAATTGGCCTAAATATAACCCAGGTATACTGTGAATCTAAATTGCTCACTGACAACAAACCCAAACAGGGCCCACAGGCTGCAAGGCAGCAGGTTAAACACTGCCTCTGAAGCTGCCGGGATGATTCTGGCACCCGAGAATTTTTCCTCCTGGTATTCATCACCGCTTGCTGCTGTGGAATTGGGCTCTTCTAAAATGTTTATCAATGCTTGGGGATCTTCCAGACTGAGAAAGGGTGCATGAGAAGTGTCGCGTTGCAGTCAGCAGGGACAGGATTTCATCACTGTTTTAATTCCTGTCTTTACGATTTTATTGCTTTTTCCCCCCCTCTTTTCTAATAAGCTCTTCTAACACCTAATAAAATCAGTCCTTTCCCTTATACTTACCTCCCCCTGCTGCCATCGTGATTACCTAGACAAGAAAAATACAGAGCACGGGGTCCTGCAGGCTGAGGTTTTAGCAACTGATTTCGACCGACACAAGCAGGATCGGCAATAAACTTCAATGTCACGGTATTTTGATTACTCCTTCTTCCGTGTTGCATGAAATATCTGAAGGGGACAAATGCCAAGGAGTGAGAAGAATTCTTTTGGGTCATGTAGCTAAAAATGAAACTAAGAAAGGAGCCATTTCCAGAGAGGGAGATGCAGTCAGCTGTGCAATCGTTATCTGTAATAGATGGCATCTCTCACTGACGTGATCTCTATTATCCCCCTATCTCAGCATCTCACAGTCTCTAATGGATTCTTCCCTACAGCGTCTTTGCAAGACCGTGTCATTGTCCTATATGCATTTTACCAGCTGGGACCAGAAGCACCAACAGGCCAAGACCCAGCTACCCTAACCTATGATGGCACCCAATTACCACTGGTCACATTCTAACAATCCATATGTAACCTGGGCACCTCACCATCTAACTGTGAATTTGTTTGTGAAAATGCTCTGTGGCCACAAAGAGGCAAATAAATCTCATAAAATCCAAGTTTGTTATTTCCTGTTCTGCTTTCAAAACAAAACACAATAATTTTAGCAGACAATTAAACTCCCTGATTTCCAAGGGAGGGAGGCACACAAATACTTCTGAGGATCCGAGCCCACATGATTATGTAAGGAATTAGCAGGAGGGAATTAACCCAATCACTGGAACATCCTTGTGGAGAGGATCTCATCCACACTCAGGGCTGCCATATGGAAACATGTTGGGGCAAAATACAAATCCCAGAAATACTTAAAATTTAAACCAGGAAAGTGCCAGAAAAATGTCACAACATTGCTCCAGGTCAGGGGAACAGTGAAATGACCCCCTCTACCTCCTGCCTCACCACCATGCCGACTGTACTCCCTAAAGCCAGGGAAAACAAGCCCAAGGTTGCATGTGCCCCTTCCAAACATGCAGGATGCCTCCATGCAGGTCAGACAGCAGAGGCAGCTGCCTGTGGACTGGTCACCCATGTGTTGCCTTCTGTTCATAGCTGTAGATTCTGCATGGGGGCAGACAGTCCCTGGGCACCCATGGGAAATTTGGCAAGGGGGCCAGAGGTGCCAACATGCCAGCCCCACTCTGAGCAGCCATGGGGATGGTGGGACGAGGCAGCACAACTGCGGTATTTCCATCACTCAGGAAGGATCTTGCATTCCCCCCTTCACCCTGGAGCTGCTTATTAAATATACTGTAATATTAAAACAAAGCTACCTTAAAAAATAATAATAAGTAGAAGCAAACAGGATTTGGGGAAGTAATGGGGAAAGTTGTGGGCCTGATCCTGCTTTGCCTCAGGCCAGGGTGGTGAAGAGCATTGGGTGAAGCCTCTGGGAAGGCATGTCCAAAGCAGGCTCCTTCATTCCATCCTGGGTGGGACAGAAAGGAGATCTGGCCCCTTTCCCATATTTAATGCTGTCACAGTTGAATTTATCACTCTGAAACTGGTGCAGTTGTTTGCTTGAGCGAGGACCGCAGCAGCAACAGCAGCTCTGGCACTGCAGAACACGGCTGGGGGGAACCAACCCTTCCTGCCCAGGATGCATACAGTTCCCGCGGTGCTGACAATAAAAGCATACCTTTCCTAGGCAGGCAAAGGCTGCCCGAACTGTCACTTTAATTGAAACCTTCTGCAGTCGTATACTTCACCTTATGTTTAATGATTCACCTCTTAAGCAGCCCACTTGCACCTTTGTAATCTTTCTGAAGGTTAACTTGTTGATCCTAGAAACTTGTCTGGAGAGAGCGAGGCAATTTGCAAGGAGGCTCGGAAGAAAAAAAGGTATCATGTTTTCAGATGAAAAGTATTTTTCTTGAGGCAGAAGGAAGGAGAAATAAATTGCAAAATTCAGAAGAGCCGAGGAGACTTCAGACAGAAAAAAAAGAAAAGAAGGAAAAAAAAAAAAAAAAGAAAAAAACAGAAAGAAATGTCCATTGAAAAAAAAATAGGAGGAGTGAGGGGAGCAGTTTGGTTTAGTTTCGAGCTCCTGGAAGACATTTTATTTTTGCTTTATAGCAATTAAAAATATATTTGTCATTTACCAGATTAAATAAAAATAATTCTAGAGTTAAATTATTTTTAGGACATTAAGAGTTACTTCTTACGGGTAATAATCTATTTGTAACTTTGTAATGGAGTAACTGGCAATTTCATACAGTTTTGGGATCGATCCTTCCCTATTTGTCATGTACTTATGCAAATAAATATCCCATTTGATTCATGTCCATATCGTAGAATCTGCCTGCTTCTTTCTTACTCCTTTAATATTTAATTATTTAAAACAAGGAAAAATCCCATGTGAATTTTTGCCTCAAAGAAATAGCTGACTTATTGTTGTCATTTGAGAATAGCAGATCAGAAAATACAATTCTTTTTAAGTCCTAAAATTGTAATTCAAATAAGAAGCAAAAGGGGAAAAAAATCTTAAATCCCCAAAACCAAACCACCTACCCTCCCCCCTTTTATTACACAAATATTCCTGGGCTTTACTGTAGCTATTCATAGTCATACCTAAATGTAGTCTACTAATATATTATTTAACACTGTAACTACTAGTATAAAAAAATATATAAAATATTCTGTTGGCAATACATTTAATTGAATTCTTTTCAGAGACAGCTTGTTATTGCCAGACATGCTTTTAGAGATAGAACAGAGAAATATAAGAATTTCAGAGGCAGTAAAACAAATAATTACAATTTTCACCATTGCTTTCAGATACCCTCTCATCCAGTCACTAAATCCTTTAAGTCTAAATCAAAGGCTTTCCATCAACAAAATTGTACAGATCATTTCAAAGAATATAAAATTTATGTTGATGTTTTATTTGAAGAGAGAAATAGAAATTCACGTAGCACTCTCCTGGCTGAGATGGCTGAGGAGTTACTAAAAAAAAACAACAAAATAAACCAAACAAACAAAACCAAAATAAAACCCAGGCTAGTTTAGCCTGAGCTTTAAAGGCCTGATTCAAAAATTATCAGGACCGATGCAAATCCCTCTTTTAATTTCAATGTGCTTGTGCTGGTAAAACTTTGAGGCATCGTCCTTCTTCTTAGACTGTTTTCTGCTTTTTAATATTAGGGATCTGCAAGATTCTCTGCTGCATGAGTATAAGAGTAACAAATAATACTGCTAACCATCCAAAGCAAGCACTGCCTTTATTCTTTTTGATTTTTTTTCCCCAACAAAGCAACCACTTACTTCTTAAGTTTGAAATATCTCAGCACAACTCCTTATCAGGGAAGTATCTTTAGGGGTTAGTCAGGTTTTTTTAATCTTGACAGCTGAAAGTTGACAGATCTGCTGAACAGGAAAGAGGTCAGTGGTGCAGCTCAGCCACGGGCCAGGGATTTTCAGCTTCCACAGGTCACACGCTCCATATCTTCGTAGGCACCAGGATGACAAGATCTTGGGACAAGCAAGTGAGTAGGCTGGGGATACTGGCTGGGTGAAGGCTCCCTCACCATGCACCCTGCCAGGAGACCCCTTACCAGCACAGCCCCACCAAGCACTGCTGGGCTTTGGTCCATAACTGGTTAAAAACTGACAGGACCAGGGAGGAGTGGGAGGTTAATCATCTGTGGCTGGAAAACTTCTGGATGAAGTTTCCCTTTTAAATCAAAGATGGTGCAGACATGGCACAAGGCTGTTGGTGCACAGTGGTACAGAAATGATCCTTGTGCACCTCCTGGTAACTGATATTTACTTGCAGTCAGTGTTTGGGAGATTAGGCAAAAAGACAGGTAGATATCTTACTCCTTTGCCTACGTGGGAGGAAAGTAATTTTTGACAGGCAAGTCTGCACTGTCTCCCGGCAGTGAAAGCCAAGCAGATATGCCAGTTATTTGGGCAATTTTGCAGGAATATTATCCTGGGGTTTTATCTGAGAGTGGCGTGGATGCGCACTCCTCTGTCATCGGAGTGGTTCTTCCCATGCGTTTTTGGTCCGAGTGCAATTTGTAACCTCAGATGGGGTGTCTGCACATGGCATGGAGGCAACAGCATGCTCTCAGGCAGTGCAGGGAGCTGTATCATTGTATGGAGGACCTGTGGACCAGCCAGCCATGTGCCCCTCTGCAGCCTTTGGCGGTCCCTCCCTCCATCCATCGCTCCGTCCCTCTGGTCCTGTTCTCTGGGATGCCCCATGTCATTCCCCCTCCCATATCAGTCCAGCTGCAGATGCCAGCAGATGTGGAGTGGTACCTATGGTTGCCTAAAGCCTCTGCACAAGGCGTGATAGGAGCAACACAAATTGGGCCAAGGGCTTGTGGATGAGCGAGCGGTCAGTGGGCTGACTTGGAGCCGGGCTGGGCAGGGGTGAGGTACGGTCAGGTGTGCCCAAGGCGTGCTGGAACAGCCAGGCTTTACCATGACATTCAAGTTTTTCTACTTCCAGTGCTTTCCCTCGCAGTAAAGACCAAGCCAGATCACAAACACTCCAATAAAAAAAAAAAGAAGAAAAAAAAAACAAAAAAAAAAGGCAACAAAAAGAAGCCCCGATGAGCATCGCAGTGCTCCACTCCCTGCCATTTCCATACGCCCGGCTGCTGCTCCCTCTTCCCCTCCCAGCCAGAGCCCATGCCTCTTCCGATACCCGGGAAAACATTTTGTTCTGCGTTAAAAGCTAAAGTTAACACATGACCAGCGAGAGGCAGCAGTTTGTTTAGCTCTTGGAGTTTATTTTAATTGCGGCCTTGTTTTGTAATGAGGACAGCGGCGGCAGGGGGAGCCTTCTGGGATCGGGGGGACTGTTCCGGGGGAGTTTCCTTATCAATAAAAAAGAAATGTCATCTATTTTAATTAACAAGAACCGGATGGGATGCGTGCTTAGTTGCTTTGTTTTCTTGGAAGTTGAACCGTAGATGTTTGCTTATTAAGGATTCCCGTGGCTGACTGGGATCACAGGTCCCCTCCAGGTGCTACCTTTAACATCCCAAACCTCCATCAGGGAGGAAAGAAGGGGAAAGAATTGAGCACTGCATTCATGCCGACAGACAGAAAACAGCCTGGTAAACTAGAGTAATTTGTTATGATGATGCATGAAAAAAAAGGAGGAAAAAAAGAAAAAAATCATGTGATTTTTATGCAAATCAGGTGAATCGGACGGTTAAAAAAACCCTAAATGTCAGGTAGATAAGATCACATACACCTAGAGCAGTGTCATGATATTTTTTGTACGTTACATTCATACTGGAAACCAAAACATGTTACAGAAATTAGACACCCACAAAAAGCTCTGAGATTGCACTGAGAACAGGTTCCCGCAAAGCACCAACCTCTGACAAAACAAAAAAAGAAAAAAAGAAAAAAAAAAAGAAGAAAAGAAACAGAAAAAAACTAGGTTAGATTAGAAAACAAGATAGTCCAATTCAACCAGGGAATAGGCTGTCCCCGCACAGTGTGCAGCCTGGCCTCAGTGCACAGGCATCAATATTCACAGAACTCCTTTTAAGTAACACTTGCGTGGCAGCACCCAGCTCTGAAATGGGCAGGCTGCTCTCACAACCCATCTCTGACTGCCATGGGGAAGGGGAGAGATTTACAGGCTCTCTCCTGTCAAGCTAAACTTTTCTCTCCCAGACACTTTTGTTTTCTTTTTTTCCCTTTGAAATTCCTGGCAGCTGTTTCCATAGAACCATTTTGCACGGGTACGGGTAAGCCTCATGGCCTGAAGGAGTTAATTTCAAAAGGAAAAATTATAGTGGGTCATTGTTTATTTAAGCAGTATTTTGTAAAAGATGAGGCGCTTCTTTCCAGGGGTGCAGTTCACCTGGGAAAGATACGTACTCGCCGCAATGCTGCTTAAAAACCCGCTCTGTGTTCCCTGTCAGGGGAGGGCACCCAAATCCTGGGGGCTCTCATCGCCCCCAAGCAGCACCTCAGTTCTGAGGCTTTCGACACTAAGCTGCAGCTCTCAGGGAGGGCTAAGTAATTCCACTGCTTTGTGCCCTACATGCCAACACACAGCAGAAGGGCTGCTTTCTATCCAAGAAGCTTTGCCAGGAAGGGGGGGAATGGAGAGACTGACGCGGGACACCCTGCGGTGGGGTCCTGAGGCACCTGTAGCGATGCCCAGCACTGCTCCTGCCTCTGCACCCCCTTCACTGTGCCCAGAAATGCCCCTGCCAACTCCAAGAGGACCCATTTCCAGCGGCATCACTCCCCTCCCATCATCGCCACCCCTTTGCCAGGCGGCTCATCAGGGTTCAAACCCCTGCCTGGGTGAGGGCTCTGTGCAGGGTGGGGTATGTTTTTCAGAGGGGGTGCGTGGGGCTGGCTGTCCACAGCGGGGTTACCACAGCCCCCAGCAAGCGGGGCCAGCTGCTGTGTGCCATGCAGGCACCTCATGGGCCTGCAGGACCCAGAGCAAGGCCAAGGCCGGTGGGGAGTGCCCCGCAGCCAACACAGGGGCCTCTGGTGGCTTCCCACACCCCCCACTCTGGCAGCCCTCCCCACCATGAGCCCACCTTGCCCCCCAAAGTGAAGCGCTTGCTGTCAGCCCACTGAAGTGACAGAGGCAGCCCCGCCGGCGAATGGTTGCCCTGCCTGCTTGGTAGTCACCTCCACCGGCTGGTCCCGAGCTGGGACTCAGATGGAGCAGGCAAGAGAAGAGAATGGCAAGGCTTCGCCCGGCACAGGTCCCAGAGAAATGACCCCATCCCCAGCACCCTGAAGCTCCCTGCAAGGCACCACAGAGACTGCTGCAGCTTTTGGGGGGCAGGAGGAAGCGGCAGCAAGTGGAGGCGGGTGGCAGCAGTCCCTGGGGAGCTGTGGCTGCGCATGGTACGAAACTGGAGGAGAAAGGCCAAAAACCCCATAAAGCAGCCCAGGCTGCCCAGCTCCCAGCCCAAAGAGGATGGTGGTGGCTGCTCTCTACGTCCCTGTAACGAGGAGGGTTAGAATGGAAACTCTGATGCAAGCCCAGCTTGGCTGCAGCCAGCCAGAGAGAGAAATCTCCCCTGTAAAAGTGCTACTTGAACAGAAGCTGTGCTCGACCTCGGGTCTCCACTAAAAAAGAAACACCCAAGCTGCTCCCGATCGTCCCGCAGGCACTGGGCTCCGCCAAGCACACACTCCGGATAAAGTGAAAGCATCCCACACTGCAGAGAAATGACAGAAAAGATCTACACCACCACCACCACCCCACCCCCCCCACCCCCCCGCCCCCAATCCCCTTCCTTTAATTTCAGTGCTGAAAAAAAAATAAAATAAAAATCCCAGAGCAGAATTTATATTATTGGGTCCATTCCTTCCCCAGCAGCCTGCAGACACCCAGGGACCTCCTCCCTGCACAGGGCCGGGATCAGAGTTGCACAGCTCAAGCTGTGTGTGCTCGCTCACTGGGAATTACATATTGCTTTTTAACTACAGGAAAGCCGTCTCCCCAGCACATCTGAACTACCTCAAGCATCTCGGGAGTACCATGCCTGTCTTGCCACCAGGCCGTTTTGAATGATGAGGCAGATTAGCACAAGGGCTTTCTTCCTAATTTCTTTTTATTCCTTCCCCTCCTTGCTTTAAAGTGTTTCAGTTCCAGAGCTCAGCTAAGAAATGAAATAACAGCAGCACCCGGCGATTTTGCGTCCAAGGTGGCTGCTCCGTGGGGCTCGGCAGTGGCTGAACCAGTAGCTGTGAGCAATTGCATTAGTGGACCGAGGGCACCGTGACCTGCAGTGGTTATTCTTGTAAACAATTTCTATTAATTGCAACGGGCCGGGAATGCCATCGCAGCCCGGAGCGCGCCCTCCCCTGCTCCCCGCCAGCCGAGCGGCAGCGGCACCTCGCAGCCCAAAGAACCGACGGGGAAAGGAAAATGAGACTTGGGATCTGCTGATCCATCCCCCCTACCCCGAGACAAACTCCCGCAGCAGGCCCACTTGAAATAAATACGCAAGGCCAGGGGATAGAAAGGCCGAAATCGCCACGGATTTACATACAGAGCGATACATTTCCATACGGGACCAGCGGAAGGCAGGGGTGACAGGCCCCCTCCCGCTGCGCCCTGCTGCAAAACCCACCCGAGACATGGATTGCAAAGGCTTTGCACTATTCCCCCTGCCCAGCCACCCCATGCCTCCCAGCAAAGGCCTTTGCCCAGCGAACTGCCGACACAAAATCCCTTCCAGAAAAGCCAGCGCGGTTTTGCATCCCCAGCACAGTCCGACATTTCCGTACAAGCAGAGTTATTTACAGACTTACAGGTTATTTTGCAACAATAACAACGACAGCTACAAAGACTTAACCCACCACTCCAGAGTCCTGGGAAAGAAAAGAGAAAACGCATGTCAAAAAAAAAAAAAAAAAAAAAAAGAAGCGTAATTTTTTGTTTGTGTTGAGAATCCTGTCAAAGAAAGGGAAAAAAGAAAATAAAAAATTGAAAACAAAAAGGACCACGGGGAGGGGAGCATATGAAGGGGCCCTTTACGGAAAAAGCTCCTTTTCCCCAGAGTAAATCCCACAGGAGGCCGTGAGCTGAGCGTGGCCATTTGCAAAAATTAGTGAAAAAGCTGATGGAGGGAAAAATAATTGTTAAAACCAAAACAAAACAAAAAGTAAAAATCCAGTGCAATGCAGCAGGGTCCTGGCTTTGCTCGCTGGGTTTGATTTTTGGTTTGTTGGTTTGTTTTTTTTTTTAGGGGGGGGAGGGTTGCTTTGTAAACGCGAAAGTGCCCCCCCCCCCCCCCCTCCGCCCCGGTCCCAAATTAAGTATAAAAATAAATAATAATAAAAAAATAATAAAAAGCGGATCTTTTGTCAGCTCTCTTCCTTCCCTTTCGGCGGGATGTGAGAACGGGGGTGAAGGGAGGTGGTGGGATGTGTGTTTGCACCGCCCGGGGTATGGACCCGGGACCCCCCGTTCCTCCTCCTCCTCTTCTGCCGCCGGCCGCCGATGTCCTCCGCGGCCGCGCACCGCCACCCCACCGCGCCCCCACGTCACACACAAGCACCCGCCGCCACGTGACCCGCCGCCCAGGGCGCGACCACTGGGCAGGGGGAGAAAAGGGGGGGTGAAGAAGGGTGGGCGATACGGTGGGACCCCTTCCGCAGCCGCCGCCCCCCAGGAGCGAGGACCCCCTCCGAGACACTCCCGAAGGGAGTGTCTCGGAGGGGGTCCTCGCTCCTGGGGGGCAGCGGCGGCGGCAACGGAGCGGCGAGGGGAGGTCCGCGGCCCTCCCCGTGCTGAGCGCAATGGTAGAGTCTGCAGCTCAAATTCCGAGAATTGGGCTCTGTTGATTCTTAGAACTGGGGTTCTTAGAAGTGGTGATGCAAGGAGTTTCTAGGAAAGCCCGGAGACCAGGTGATTGCTGCTTCTATTGCCGCGGCCGATTTTACCCTTTAATTCTCTCGCTAGCTTTTTTTTTTTTTTTTTTTTTTTTTTTTTTTCCCTCCACTCCTCTCTCTCCATTTTTTTTTCCCTCCTCTTTCCCTCCCTGCCCCGGTCCGACGCCTGGCGCGGAGCCGCCTCTATATATTTCTATCCTTTCCCCCCCCCCCTTTTTTTTCTCCCTCCTTTCTTCTTTCCTTACCCCCCTTTCCCGCTGCAGGTGCCCCAACAGCCCTTTAATTATTTTATTTTTTATCACTCTCTTAAATTTTAACGTGTGCTTTTCCTGCTTTATTTATTTAATTCACACACATACGCACCCCTTCGCTTGCCTGCTGTCAGGAGAGGCAAAACAGGGGTGCTGCATGTCTTAACGGTGGGAACATGTAAAACGGGGGGGGGGGGGTGGTGGTGTCTCCCCTCGCCGTCCTCTCCCGGGGATTATCGGTTATCGGGGATTATTGGCGCTCCCGCACGCGTGACGGCCAGGCGGGGACGGGCAGGACGGCGGTGGCGGCCTCGCTCTGCACCTGCAGCCGCCCCGCGGACGCAGGACGGCGGCTGCTGCCCGCCGAGACGGGGCGTTTTGCGTGACTCGGGGTCGGGTCCCAATGGCTGGATCTCTCGTCCGGGGTGTGTGATTTTTCTTTCGTCGCATCCCCCCCGTTCTTGTTTCCCCCCTTTTTTCTGTTCTTTTTCTCTTTTCGGTGCGTGTTGTGTCGCTGTTGCCGTTTCGCCGCCGCGGAGCGGGGCTGACGGTAGCGCTGGGGCTCGGCTGCACCGGCACCGCCGTTCGGCCCTTCCGCATCATCTCCCCCACACACGCGCATTTTATTATCGTTACTACTACTGTTATTATTATTATACAATTATTATTGTTGTTCAGTCCCCGACCTAACTGCAAAACGACTGGAGCGTTTTGCAACCTGTAGCGGGGCTGCGCCGTGATCTGTCAAGCCCCGGGCTAAGAGCGGGCGATGATGGAGAGCACTTGCGGCATTTCTCTGCCTGGGGAAGGGGGGAGCCCGCGGGGAAGCTCGGCCGTCGCCGGCTGCCGGCCCCGGAACACCGCGGAGCGGCGGCCCCGACGTGCGGGTGGGAAGGAGGCGCGCTCGGCGCGACGGTGTGTGCAGGGGCGGCCTCGACGGGCTTTTACCGGCTGGGAAATAAACGGCGGGGCAAAGCTCGGGAAGGGGGGAAAGTGTATGGAGTAACTCTGAATATTACGCGCAGGATTCAAAATAATCATAACGTTAATATTATTAATAATAATAACACCCCCGCGGCGGAGAAGACGGGGTCCTCCGCCGGGAAGAAGGCTGCCGCCGGGGCCAATGGGATGCCGCCGAGCAAAGGATGGGGTCCCGGGTGCGGCGCGGGGGGAGGCCCCCGGTGCCCCCATCGCAGCCCTTCCCTTGTGTTTACTACCGCGGCGGACTTGGCGCGGCGACAGCCCTCGTAAATCTGCCGCCGGCAGCCGCGGGGCTGGCCCCCGGCCACACGCTATTCCTGGAGCGAGCGGCGCGCCCGGGCGCGGAGAGCCGCGCAACCCCCGCGCACGTCGCCTTTGCTCCCGCCGGCCTGCGTCCGGCTCCCCCAAAAGCCGGTGGGGGAAGAGAGAAGGTTTTATTTTCGTTACCTGTGTGCTTGCGCGTGTGTGTATTTATGTTATTTTTTTTTTTTTTAACGCATACACCCCACCCCCCGTATAAAAAGGGGGGGGGAGGCAAAACAAAACCGAAAAAGCCCAAGTTTGTTATGAAAACTTTCGTGGTCGGGCGGCAGCGACCTCTCCCGGCCGCCCCCCCTCCCCCATCTTGCCCCCCTGCCCGGCCCCCCTCGCCTTTAGTTTGCAAAGTCACAGCATGAAGTGTTATGAAATCGCCTCTTGGGAAGAAGGGAAACAGAAAGCAAGGCGTTTGTTTAGAAAAATCCGTGGCGGCCTCGCAGATGTGCCTAAAAAGCTGCCTTTGACCCCTTGATGCATTTCCAGGGAAGAGGCATATCTGAGATTAAAATCCTGAGTCAAAAACAACAACAACAACAAACCCGGCCCCGGGTTAGTGTTTTCTCCACTGACTTAAGTAGGCGCAGGGTCAGTGCGAAGGGAGGCTGGGGCCAGACAGATGAGGCTCGGCAAGGAGCTCTGCTTTGGTCCAGCATCTCTGTCCAGGGCCAAATTCAAACATGTGCCAGTAAAAGTGTCAGCAGGGCCGGGTATGGGATCAGGTCCTTGTTCGATCTGCGAATGCATATTGATTCCTCTTCTGAGCTTTTAAATGCTTTAAAAATTATTATTTGCTGTATTGTTTCAAATGTTTTAAGGATAAGTGCTTTAAAAGCAAGTACAGATTTTTTTCCTGTAGTCCTCAGGGGGGTAGGGGGGAACCTTACAGTTCAAAAACCACTTTAAAAATATTTAAGAGGGGAAGCCTCGCCTTATAGATACATGGAGAGGCAGAACCTGAGGTTCTGTTATTTTCCTGTAATGACAGGATCACAGGCTTAAAAGCTTACATTATAGATGGCAAATTTTCCTGCATGAAACTAATCATCAAATATATTGAAAAATATTCAAAGGGTGTCTAGCAGTTTTCCAGAGGAGTGGGTTATTGCATTGTTCCAGTGAGAAAAGACTTCATCTCAGAGTGTTCAATTTTGACTGGCAAAACAGATCAAAGATCTCTTGGGATGCATTTCAATTCCAATTTCTAATCCCTTTCAGTTCTGACTGTCTGAGTCAATATTGGGAGAGGAAGTGGAGGTTAACTGGTTAGTTATTATTGTGAAGGAAGAAG